GGCGCAATTTGTTCTAAAAATAGAAAAATTGTCCCATATCATAGGTGCGCGCGAATCCCGAGACTTACGGTCTCCGTCCCCGATTATGGCTCCTGGTCCTAATGCCGATTTCGCGTAGTTTACAATTTGTAAGAAGCGTCCAAACTGATTGGCCGGCTAAGTATTCACGATATTCGCTAAATTCTGTTGTCACTTGTCGGGTCAAGCCAGAAGAGTCTTTGAGTGATTTTCTTTCCGTGAATTAATTTGTTGCCAGTTAGGTTTTTGCGATTAAAATTAAAACTCGCTCGAAGATTAGCATTGTGGAACCATTCTACAGACAATCCTGTCCACTGATCAGTTGCCGCGAGCAAGTACTATAAATTGGCATTCAGCGCTAGTGTTGGAGAGAAACAAAAATACATATTCTAATGGTTCGCCTGAATAGTCAGCTGAGTTCATAAAACTTGCAGCTGCATGTGACGATGAGTCACGATTGAGACAATGTCCAGTCAGGATGAAATAATGGCTTCCTTTTCCCCCCTTCACCTCCTGCCATCTTCAATCTCATCTTGTGAAAATCTAGCAGCGTACGTTTCCCTTTCGGCCTTTTTTTTTTAGACGAAGATAGGTTCACCGATTGAGTTAGGTTACAAGTTTTGTTTGTACTACGACTAAAACAGAAAGAAGGGAAATGAAGAAAAAGTTAACAGAGCACTTCTGTCTTCTGACAAGCAAGCTAATTGAAATCGAAATCATGGCAAGTAGCATTGTCCTTGGTAGCAAGTCGTTTGCACCTGCAGGTCACGCACAGGTAAGATCACTTAAAATTTAAAGGGTGAAAGGCGTAGATAAAGCTTCGGAGTGCAAGGTCGTAAAACGCTCATGGACAAACGAAATACTGACGAGATAAAAAAGGACCGGCCGACGTATAGTTTGCATTTATAATATTGTGCCTCCAACCAAGGACTTCGTCGAAAGAAGCTTGCACCTCGCTTCCAGTGGTGCTACTTACCCAATGTGTGTGTCGTGCAGGTTGTTTGCGTTGTTGGCCCTATGCTACACTGCATGTAACTGCATGTAACTTGCTGTTCACTTACTAAATCCTCAGGAGTCTATATCGATCCACGTTTGCCGTGTTCCAAACATGTTAATGAGATTGCTAATATACAAGTGAATATATGAAAGTTTATATATTTGAACTGCGGAGAATGATATGAAGATATGATTGATCATCGCAGTTATGCACACAACTTAAGCAGTTGTGAAATTAAAGCCTGAAAAACATTCAGGCATGAACGGGATTCCAACCCATGACCTATGCGATACCCGTGCAGTGCTCTACCAACTGAGCTATCAAGCCAGCTGGGAGCTGGCTACGTTGTGAGTTCGTAATATACCCGTAGAAGGTGAAGAATACAAGTGAATATATGAAAGTTTATATATTTGAACTACGGAGAATAATATGAAGATATGATTCATCATCGCAGTTATGCACACAACTTAAGCAGTTGTGAAATTAAAGCCCGAAAAAAATTCGGGCATGAACAGGATTCCAACCCAGCGTTAATTTCCCAACTGCTTAAGTTGTGTGCATAACTGCGATAATCAATCATATCTTGATATCATTCTCCGCAGTTCAAATATATGAACTTTCATATATTCACTTGTATTCTTCACCTTCTACGGGTATATTACGAACTCACCGGCAACGTGGCCTGCTCCCAGTTGGCTTGATAGCTCAGTTGGTGGAGCACTCCAGCGGTATCGCAGAGGTCATGGGTTTGAATCCCGTTCATGCCTGAATTTTTTTTGTTTTTCAGGCTTTAATTTCACAACTGCATGCTTAAGTTGTGTGCATAACTTCGATGATCAATTAAAAGACATATCTTCATATTATTCTCCGCAATTCAAATATATGAACTTTCATATATTCACTTGTTTTCTTCACCATCTACGGGTATAGTACGAACTCACAAAGTGACCAGCTCCCAGCTGGCTTGATAGCTGAGTTAATAGAGCACTGCAGCGGTGTAGCAGAGGTCATGGGTTCGTATCCTGCTCATGCCTGAATTTTTTTCAGACTTTAATTTCAAAACTGCTTAAGAGTCATACTCAGTTATTTTCCAGCTATATAAAAAAGTCGCGGCCACGGTACCTCGCCGATTTTGCTGAAATTTGGCTTGCAGTCTTGTTGTAGAGTCCTAACAGCGAAATGTATGTTAAAAAGTTCCAATTCTTTTTACTTTGGAAAATATCGAGAAGGCCGATTTCGAGTGACCTTGGCGG